AGGAATTTGTCCTCTATTTTGCTAATTCTTTTTTCCATTGTTTCAATTCTACTTCTATGTCCTTCTATTGAGTTACCTATTTCTGATGTTTTATTGTTAGTCTTCTGGATTTCTAGTTGCTGTTTTTGTCTATTTATCATTTTGTTCTTGTATTGTTTTCCCAAATTCTTCTAAGGTTTTGTCTGTGTTTTCCTTGATATCTTTGAGGACCTTGTAGGTGAACCTTTTGAATTCCTTATCAGGCAGTTCAATTACCATCTCTTCCCCAGGAAGTTTTCTGCCCTTTTATTTTGGTCACTTGGGTGAGCCATCTTGTCTTGTTTCTTTCTATGATTTGATATTTTCTGCTGTCTTCAAGGCATTAAGGTGTTATTTTATTTATTTATGATTTTTGTTTTGTTTTGATATATCAGAGTGGGCACTCTCTCCAGTGGGGGATGGTGGGGTGGGCAGCCGGGGGTCATGCAGGTGCTCTCTCTGGTGGGTGGGGGTGGGGCAGGTGGCTGGGGTGAGATGCTCCCTCTGGCTGGGGATCATGTGGCACTCTCTTCCATGGGGGAGGGGGTGGACAGATGGCTGGGAGGCACATGGGCCCTCCCTCTGGTGGGTGAGGGGTGGGACATGGGAAGGATGGGACAGGTGGCCTGGGAGTGCACAGGTGTTCTCTCTGGTAGGGGTAGGGTGGGGTGAGTGGCCAGGGAGAGGGGGAGAGGAAAAAAAAGGGGGTGGAGCTTGTCTATTGCTGTATGTTTGCCACCTGTCCTACTGGTCAGCTACTGCTGCTAGAGAGTCACCCTGTCCCTGGGCCCTGACTTCCTTCCTGTTCTGTGTATGCTAGGATTCCTGAAGCTCTCATCCGCCTTTCTGTACTCTCCCTCCTTAGCTCCAGTTCACGTCCTGCTCACCTTGCTTCACTCTAGGTATGTCTTTGCAGTTTCTCTGTCTCCTATCGGGAGTTCTGTGATATTGTCTTCCTGTGCTCCTCACCCAGGGTTGCTGCTGGTTTTGTCTCAAAACAGCCCCACTGTGCCAGGCTTTCTCACGGGTACTTCCTCTCTGTATCTCTCCCTGTTTGCTGCTGTCATTCAGTTTCTTTTTCCCCCTGGTGTTTGATCTAATTCTATACCCTTTCATTTGATGCTCAGGGTTCCAGTGTTGTCATCTGTATCTATTACACTTTGTTTCTTGGGTCTCTGCTATAGAGGGACAATGTGGTGCATATGACCAGGCCACCATCTTGAATCAATCTCTCTACTAGGCACTTTTATATACCTTATGTATTCCTCAAAACAGTTCTGGAAGGTGTGTATTATTTATTTATTTTTCCCTAAGTATAAATTGAGGGTATCAAAGCTCAGAGAAAGTAAGAGACTCACTAAATTCTATACCTCATCTAGTCGGGGACTGTGTGTCTACTCCTGGCTGTATTCTTGGGCCCTTATAATACCCAGCATGGAATGAGTTCTCAACATGTAGTTGCTGATAACATTACTTGCCGGGGGAAAGAGCCAGTAAGTTATGAGACATTCATGAAAGATGAAAAGAGCCCTTGTGGGATGAAGATGGAAAGAAAGGGGTTTGCATAGCTAACAGTAAAAAAAGAAATGACTTCGATTTATATGTTATCACATCTTCTTTCCAAGGATTTTGAGATACTTGATATTTCATTTGTTTCATCAGTCCTGGCAATATTCCTGGTAAGTGAGGAGAAATGAGGCAAGAAATGATTTGGTAAAGGCCAAACATGCAACTCAAGGACTAGGTGCAGTCATCTTCTGCTCTTGGTCCAGCTCATATCTGCATCACTAGATCTTCAGGAAAACACTCTTCAGGCACCTCTAGGGAGAGGGCCTTTCACCTGCTATCTTGATATACCACCTAGGAACATACCAGTATTAAACTCAGCTTCAGGATTAGCCAAATTTCACCTTAGGCTCTGTATTAGTTTCCTCATGCTGCCATAATAAATTATCACAAACTGAGTGACTTAAAACAGGAGAAGTTTATTGTCTCAAATTTCTGGAGGCCAGAAGTTCAAAATTAAAGTGTTGGCAGATCATGATCTCTTTTAAGATTTTAGGGGAAGAGCCTTCTTTGCCTCTTCCTAGCTTCTGGTGGTTCCATCAATCATTGGCATTTCTTGGCTTGTGGTTGCATCACTCCAGTCTCTGCCTCAGTCTTCACATGGCCATTTTCCCTCTATTCCTGTGTCTCTTCTTTTTTTTTGTAAGGACACTAGTCATACTGGGTTAGTACTCACCTTACTCCAGTATGACCTCACATCATCTTAACAGATAACATCCTCAAAGATCCTATGTCCAAACAAGTTCACATTCACAGGTACTGGGGGTTAGGTCTTCACGATATATTTTTAGAGGAAACAATTCAATCTATAAAAAGCTCTTAGTTGATAGGGCAAATAGAGAGAAAACAGCTTAGAAAACTGTGGGTAAGATATTTTGACAAAGCAGGTAGGGGTGACCCCTCCCCAAATCTGTCTTCTCCCAGATCTGACCTTTAATGCATACCTTAATGCTTAGAACACTGCAAGAAATTCATCTGAAAAGAAGCAAAATGTCAATGTTTTTCTCAGCATTTCTGTATTTTTTATCAGAAAAGTAACAACATACTAACTATAGCTATAGACATCAGTTTTATGTAGATATTAGCCAAGAATTGATTGAAAGCTGCAGCAGAAGTAGCTTTATAGTCACAATACTTCTAGGACATTTCTATACTCAAACTGGAGATCTATAGGCATGTAAGCTGAAAGCCAGTGGGGAAGTTTGCTTGAGACTCCTAGACATAGCCTTGACACTACCTACCCTAAAAGCTTGAGTAAGACACAGAAGTGTTAATTAAATGCTGGTGACAAGATGTCCTGAGTTGATTTTTTTCTCATTTAACGTTAGACTTTCTTGATTTAAGTGGCTCAGTAAGAAAAGAGATATAATTGCATCTTGCTATAACTATTTCCACTGAGACATGGCTTAATTTTCATTATTGCTGTTGATTTTTTAAAAATTTCAATAGAACATTCTTGTTAATCTTGCTTCAGTGAAATTAGTTGTGCTGTGTTTTTCTAGTTTCACAGTTAATTCCAGTGTAGAACCAATTTGTTTTTTACTATTCAGAATATCCTTACCACTGATAATTTATCGATAATGGCACAATTCACAGTGTACTTTTATTTCAGGTGGAAGGAAGTGAGGGATTGGTTTGGAGAAAGCAACAAGAGGGAAGTGTCTATAAAATACCCTTCATCTGGTAGCATAGGGTGGTGATGTTCCTAATGAAGGACACAGTGTCTGCTCTTTGATAGGATTACCGTGCTGTGATTGGCTCTCTGCATCACTTTCTGTTCCTTCAGAGACAAATGACAAGACTAAGAAGAGCCTCCAGTATAGTTACTGCATTTCTGAACACCAAACATAGACAGTGAAGCATCTTTTAATGGACTGTGACATTGATTCACCACATTTCTCTGGCCAAGTTGGGAGACAGGAGCTAAAGCACTGACATATTAGAACAGCTCAGATTCCCTCTCTATGGAAAGTATATAATATTGTCTTAATGTAAAACCTTATCATGCCTTAAAGGCCTTTAAAGAGGCACTCTGTAAAGCAAATTTCTGCACTCTGCTCCAAGGACTTATGCAAGTTAGCCCTCTGTGGCATTTTTGCTCCTGCCTGAACTAGGTATCATCCATGGACATGTGAGTTGACCAGGGAAGAAGAGCAGGCTGATTACAGTATAACTGAAGGCTTATCAAAAGCCCCCCAACTGATATTTCCATTTGTGAAATATTTACTAGGTCTCAATATTTTCAAACTCTATCTACACTCCAATATACTTGGACTTTGTTTGGGCTGGTTATTAGCTTAGAAACAGCTCTAAATTCTTATTTGTATTCTACCTAGTGTGATGGAGGGCCTAATTTTGACGCATTTTCAGAAGTCTTGAGAAGCAGTCATTGGCATGGAGCAATCAATAAAATGAAAGAGCTTAGTAATGTTGGCAGGAGGAATGGAGTTCCAATCCAAAGACCCTCTGTATGCTCTGAGGAGGGCTCCTCCCTTTCACCTCCTTTACATTCTAGGAAAGGGCAAATAGTATTATGCAGTGCCTTTCTCTAATGCCACCTCCTGTGCCCTGGTTTCACTAGGGAACCAGAGGAAGTCCTGACATGAATATCATGCTTGGAGTAAACATATCTCCAGTGTAGCCATACTTGTTATATCGTTCTACATTTCCAATCTTTGTATGTTCTATTTGCTTCTTTGGCAATGACCCAGCACAGGGAACACATATTTCAGTATGTTATACTCATCTCTCCACCACCTGTCTGTTTATCATACTGTGGTGGCTTGAGTGTTGCTGTGATGCTGGAAGCTATGGCACTGGTATTTCAAATACCAGCAGAGTCACTCATGGTAGACAGGTTTCAGCAGAACTTTCTAAGACAGACTAGAAAAAAAGGCCTGGCAATCTACTCTCGAAAATTAGCCAATGAAAAGCCTATGGATCACAACAGACTGTTGTTTGACTCTCTTGCTTTGGACACAACATCAGGAGGGATAGATTGCTGGAGGAGGACTTCGTGTTTGGTGATGGAGTGCCAGCCAGGGTGAGGGAGACCGTCAGTGAGATGGACTGGCACAGTAGCCATGATGATGGACTCGAACTTGCCAGCGATTCTAAGAATGATGCAGGTAACATATCCTCCTGTTGTATGCAAGGTTGCCGTGAGTTGGAGTTGACTTGATGGCAGCTATCTATTTCTATGCTCATCTCTAGGCTCCGTTCGTTATGCTGGTTTTTTTTTTTCCTCTCTTTGGTAGATGTTTATTAAGAAAAAGAAAAAGAGAAAATAGTTCATGCCTACTGAGTGCTTACATTGGGCCAGGCACTGCGCTAAATACTTGCATGCATGATCTCAGTGAAGACACAGGGCACAGAGAAGTCTGGTGATTTGTGCAAGGTCCCACAGCCGGTGAGGTGCAGGGCTGCGGTGGCCTGACCCTGTGTATGCTGCCTCTCCCCTAACTGCCTGTGCTTGGAGCTGGTCCAAGGCACTCAGGTGATATCTAGAAGCACAGAAACCATCTCTACCATAGGGAAAAGTAAACTGTTACCAGGAACCATCGAAGCCTCTGTGGCCTTCTTTAAGGGCAAGAATAAATGTGCTGAATTATCCTTCCAGGCACTAATGACTGGGCCGCTGAACACTGCCACGGCTATTACTGTTTTCCAAGCTAACACTTGGCCGATTCTCTGCTTTACTTTCAGGCTAATAATTAGATTTAAATCCCTGACAGGACTGCAACTGTTACCCCAGGGGGTTTTAGATTTCTTTACTATTGCTTGCAAAGATTTCATTTTAAAAAAGCCCTTTGAAACTAAGTCACACTCAGTCACAGCTTTGAAAAAATCTATTATCTTGTGAAGTCTTTTGAAGAACATATGCTGCTCTCTCCCTCCTCACCTTGAAAGATCAACCCTTTCTTATCCCCAATTTGAAGAATAAAATACCCAGGAGGACCAGAGAAGGCAGACTCATAAAATGCTGTTTTCATCAGCACCTGTGTCACCGCCAGGTTATTTTGGATAGCGTCCAGGGTCTTAGAATGTGTTGATTCAGGAATCTTATTTGGCTTTAGGTTTTTATTTTTCTAAATTCGTTTTCTACAGATAGTGGAAATCATAGTGGTGACTTTCCTTCTCAGGCGAAAACAAAGAACTGTTCTTTGTATGAGTAAATTAATCTCTTGACCTACGTGCTGGGTTGTTTTGAACAAGGCTTTTAGGGACAAAATTTTGCATGGAGCTGTTTACCCCTTGCTCTGCTCTCCATGCCCCCACTCCCACCCCCACTGGTTGGTCAGAGTACTGTGGCGGGGGGTGGGGGCGGGGTGTGACGTGTAAAGACTCTTTTCTCTGTATAAAGATACCTGACACAACCTGGGCACTTCAAGCCTTTCGAAGAACAAGACAGAGGAAGTAACTGGCCCAGGTGGGGATCACCGGGCAAGGCTGGTCTCGTTAGCACATGTTAAAGCAACTGAGCAGCCTCCGTAGAGGTCCAGGCACTCAGGAAAATCTGTTCTGAGGCTTTTCCACCGCTTTATGTCAGGAGTTTGTTTACATAATCCCAGCTGCTTCTAAAGAGGAGGCAGAGAGCTTGGTCTCTCTGTTAAGTCTAGTTTATTCAGAAAGAAAATTGTTTCTACCTGGAAGCCTCATGGATGAGATCTGGTGAACTATTCCAGCCAATCATTTAGCCAAATGTTTTCCGAGAAGAATGCATTTTATACTTTTCCAGAGACATAAAAATAATACAAGAATGTTTGATTTTATTAAATATGATACTTTTGATAAAACAACAGACGAAATTGTTTTTGGATAATTTTAGTCAAAATTCTTTTAGTCAATTAAACAATGCCCTACAGTCTATCAATTGGCTAAAAGCATAAAGAAAGATTCCATAATTTTCTGACAACTTTCTTTGAACGTGAGAAAAACTGGTACTCATTGATTCTTTCAAATATATTCCTACATAGGAGCCATTTAGTAACAGTTGTTACCAGAACAACCTCTCTTGACAGGTAGACATATAGCTAAAGACCTGAGGAGATGTGGGCTTTATCGAATCAACGATAAAAAAAAAAATCCAAAATAAATACCTATCCAACTTGACAATATTGCAATAATACCTATCCAATTCATCTTGACAATACTGCAATGAAGAACGGTTTCTTCCGGTGACAAAATACATGCAGCCTCTAACTTGCAAAAACTAGGTTTATGAACATTACATTCTAAAAATCCCTGGTTGAGCCAGGGGCAGTAGCTCCCTGGAGTGAGAAGCACTCCTAGACTGGGTTCCACCTTGTCTTCTTGGCAGGAGGTGGGGGCTGGAGGTGCGCCACCACAGGGCTCTCTCACCCCTGGTGCTGGGAAGAGGCTTACAGCAGCGGGGAAAGCACAGGGTCCAGTATTTCCCAGTTGCCCTCAGCATGCCAGTGATGCACTCTCCCACAGAATGTTACATCTGATGAGAATGTGCACAAAAGTTTACTTCGCCCATAATACATCTTAACTATAAAAAACCAAAACAACCAAACCCTTTGCCATAGAGTAGATTGTGACTCCCAGTGATCCTACAGGACAGAGTAGAACTGCCCCATATGGTTTCCAGGGAGCACCTCGTGGATTCCAACTGCAGACCTTTTGGTTAGCAGCTATAGCTCTGTAACTACTGTGCCACCAGGGTTTCCATAAGCTTAACTATAGCACCTCAAAACAAACATCTGTTGTTACTGAGTCAAAAAGCCTCTGTGGACTGTGTGTTATAATTTATTTAAATGGATACGAACTGCCAGCCTTTAGGTTAGTAGTCCAGTGCAATCTGTGCCACCCAGGGACCTGAATAAGTAGAGAGCTTCAGTGGAGGACGTATTTCACATTCTAACCAATAGAGTTAAACTGTTCAAACAATTCATTTGTTTAGAAAGTCCATTAGCTTGTATGTTGCTATTTTAACCTTGAGGAATTTCTCAGGCAAGACACAGAAAATTTGGTAGCAAAACTGTATGTTTTTTTTGGAGGCAGGTCTATGATCATATAGGATTATTTTAAGTAGAGGATCCCAGAAAGCCTAGTATTATGCCATGGTATCGCAATGTGTCCCTTAAGAGAGCAACAGCCCGTTTTGCAAATTCTGCAAAACTAGCATGCTATCTGCATTAAAACTGACATCACACTGCAGTTTTCAGACAAATAATTTCTATCCAAACTGGACTCCTTACCAAGCATTTCTCGTCATCCAAACTGGGAAAAAGATACCTGCTCTTCCACAATTGGCCATTATCAGAGCTGAAGAGCAGCTGCTTTCTAGCCAGATGACTAAATAATTGCTAATGAAGTAAACATGGTGCAAGTTCTAATCATTAAGCCCACTGTCACCTCTATGCAGTCTGTAGAGCTGTTCTCAATATTAAACAATCCATCCAATTATACATAATTTGAGATTTAATACTTTGTTACCTCTGATTTGATCAATGGGTACTTCAGCATGACGCTTACCCAAAATAAAGACTGAGTGTTGAAGTCTGGCCTAGGCTCACTTCTAACACCAGACACTGCTGGTTTTGCTAAATCCCTGAGCTACTGGTCACTGGTGAGATCCTGTCCTACATGGATGGTGTTACCATAGTCCATCATTGTCTAGAGCTGTCAAACTGGAGACTCAGCTGGAAGGGTGCCACACAAAGCTGAAACCCAGCTGCACTGGGAGCCAGCAGCTCCGGGGGTCTAATCAGGTGGAGTGCAGCTCTGTGCTCTCCAGCGCAGCTTCCATGGCAGGTGGGGAGCCATTCACTGCTCTCGGAACTCCACTAGTTATTGCTGCTTCAAGGGAAACAATCCTCATCACTGCATACAAATTACATCACCTATGAGCTAAAGAATGAGATGGTATTTTGCTGCCAAGTATTATTTTCCATTCAAATGGTCTACAATCACACATACAATGCCAGAATCATAAGAGTACATGCCTGCCTGTGAGGAATGCAGCCAGAGCTGGGAGTTCTGTGCTTGAAATCCTAAGGACACCTCATTTGATAAGTCACTATCATTTGATAATGGTTCCAATTCTGCTTTGGGAGAACTTCCCCTCTGGCCTCCTGTCTGTGCTTCAGACGGAGCTGACAGCTTCCGTTCTAGGATGGATATGGGGCTCAGGCCGGCTCAGAGCATCCAGGACGTGTGGCCTGGGATTGGGTCAAGGATGGCATGAGACCCGGTCGGAGAACCGAGGAGCCATCTCAGACTGCAGACGACAATTGAGAGAGAGGTGCTTTTTCTCCCCCCTCTGCTAACCCTAGATCTGGAGGATGGGCCTGGGACTGCAGGCAGTTCTTCTGCCATTCCATGTTACCATGAGGGAAGGCAACATGGAGGAGGGAAAGGAAAGCTGGAAGCCCACAGGACACTGTTCCTTACGGTGCTTTCGTTGAGTTCCAGGATCCAGTCGTACATCTGAATCTTGAGCTACATGGGCCAATGACTCCCCTCACTGAATTTCCTTTATCTTTAGCTTGCAATCAAAATAACCCTAACTAACAACCAAGTCGAATGAAGAACTATACGTTTTAGTCTGTAAGATGCTAACTTATTCTACAGATGAGGACACAGAACCAGAGGCCAGTGGCTTGCTGAGGTCCTCTGCTAGTCAGCGGCAGAGCCCAGAACAGAACCCAGGCCTTCTGCTTTCTCAGGCAATGTTTTCACTCGACCATGGGAAAAGTAACCAGAAAAGGAATCATGAAACACAATGGACTTGTTTAAACTTTTAATTAAACTTTGCTTCTATTAAAAGTTACTCTGCATTGTTACCCAGAATACAAACAACTTGAAAATACATTAATAAACTAAATTTCTGAGAAATTTTTTTAAAAAATGGGTTTATAAATTTGATATTTGAAGTCATTCTTTGCACTGCTACCTAGAGTACGGACAACTGGAAAATACATAATTAAATTTCTGAGAATGTGCTTGTGGTCTGCTGTAGAAGCAACAGAAAGAGTCCAACAAAACAGCTTAAAATGTTTTATTAAGTATATATAATAATACAGGGCAATATTTACAAAATTATGTTGTTTAAATAAAAAAAGTATCTTGGCAAAGACTGCAGATATTCAAAGCTTCAAACAGTGATAAATTGATTTAATACATATAAAAAAAAACCCTTTAACAGTACAACACAGCTGTAAAACTTTGGTCTTTAAATTCACTGCTAAAAATGGCTACTGACAAACAGCACACCTTTAATTGCTATGCAAAAGAGTCCCCAAAGCAGGATCTTGCATCATGTAGCAACACTGGAATTTTCTTTATTTAGAATGGTTAATAGATATTTATACCACATGGGATCCAATTCTCAACAATGGCTTTTTGTAAATAATGCTCTGTAATAAAAACAAAAATGTTTCTCTGTCTCACCAACCACGATAACAACACTTTTAAGATTCCACTGATGCTGCCTTACAGAGAAGCTTATTACAATCTTTTTTTCAAAAAGGCTGTATTTATGGGAAAGCCGATCTTACACAATCATAATTAAGAGCTCTCAAATGCCAAAGGCTAAGAACTTCCCGTTCACTGCTCATCTCTTAAAAGTTACTTGGATTATCTCTCTATTAGCCACTGAAAGTGACTTAACAAAGGCCCCCAGTGGGTGATGGCTGTTAAGTGATTCTGCAAGTATGACACATGTAAAAAACTAAAGTCAAACAAACTCTCAATCAAATGAAATACAGTGAAAAGATACAGGGTTGCCCAGCAATCATTTTTCCAGTTTAAAGAAGGATGTATTTCCATACATACACAATAGGTCTCCATTTCTGATCACTCACCTTAGGACAAAAGAAATCTACAAGTTGATACAGCGCTTAATTCTTACTGATGAGACGGGGAAGTAAACGTACCACTTCTGGAGCTTCATTAACTCAAACCGTAATTTGGCTGGTCATTTACTGACTATAGTATCCTGAAAAGAGCAATATTCCCCCTTATGGAATAGCCCCATTGATATCACTCTGATATCAACAGGAGTTTCAATAGAACAGACCTGGAGTTTCAAGGTGAAAAATCGTCACCTTTTAAGGTTTCCAGAATATGTGAGATTTGTCAAAAAAGAACACTCTCTAGCTCACCCTATTAAAAATTGTGGGAAATCTAAATACAGCCAACACTAAATCATCAAACTTATATACTGAGAGTCTAACGTACGCAAAGCACTGCAAGAGAAGAGAAAGGAAGAAAAAGTTCTTGCTGTGGAAGCAGATTAAAAACCAACGGAGGTAAGCAGAGACAGATGACATACTAGGAAGGGTAAGGGGGAGACAACTGAGGCGGCTGGACAGGCAGAGGCAGATGGCAGGGCGAGCCAGCGGGGAGGAAGGGCTGGTGCAGAATGTTTTGAAGGGGAAAAATATTCTGATTTGGCCAGAAAAGCTGGAAAGGCTGTTGCAGAAAATGACAAATGGCATCACCCTAAGAATGTACAATAAATAATAGTGAATGCAAAAGTCGACCGCAAAAACTGGGATGAGTGAGTAAAAAGCAATTATGGAAGATAAGTGATGCTCAAAACATTGTTAGCAATTTTAATTTAGTGTGGCAGAAAACTGGGAGCCATTACAAGCCTGATTCTCAGAGAATGAACTGGCCCAAAGATGCCCCAGCAAGATGATTCTGCTGCTCTGGTCCCTTCTCTGGAGACGGTGACACTGGAAGAGCTGATTGCATTTGGCATTTTGCCTGCTACCTTCTGACGGCACAGTCTAGGGCAGTGAATGCCTCAAAAATCAGGCGGAATTAAATGGAACACAAAGGATGGATCATTCCCAAGACTAAACCCCAAACAAAAGAGCTCACTGCATATTAAAAAGTACAACTTTAGTTTATAAAAAAATTTTACTATAAAGACTTTCATACTTGATTTTTTCTTTATAGAGAATAGGAATTTGGGTCTTTTTCAAGTCCATCTACTTTTTTTCTCCTTTCATCAAAACTGATTCACAAACTATGTCGGCAAAGCATAAATATTTCCAGAAGAAAAAAGAGCAGCAGAGACATCAGACTTACATAAGGGAATACAGCTCCCTCTACATGTGCTAATATTTTAGACAGTGACACAATTAGGGAAGAAAGGTATTTTTTCTTTTTCTCAAGCTGTCTCCATAGTGTGTTCTGTATTTTGAGAGGCATCAGCAGGTCATTAAATTTAGGTTTGCCAAGAACAAACCACTTGGTCCCAACATGAAATATGACAATTAATTTGGCATAAAAGAGACATGGGAACATTCAGTGGACTAAGAAATAACTATTATTAATGCAACTACAAATATGAATGTCTTATTATTACACAAAAATTACTAGTATTTTAAGAGGGTATTAGTGACCAGTCAAAAAGCTTGACAAATTACCTAGAAGTTTTTAAAGTTTTAAGGGATCAAATGTTTGAATCCAATATAATTTCACCCAACAAAGATCTTTATTTTTTGTAATATTTTTACTAAAAGCATGAAATTCACATTTGCTCTCCTGTAGGTACCCCTCTTCTGTCTATACAGAAGATGCATGTGCCTATCTTACACACACACACAAACACACACCCACAAATGAGGCAAAAAACGAGTGCTAATAACCTAAAAGTATTCCAGGCGATCACAACTGTCGGAACGTTAATTTTCTCTAGCTAGGGGGGACATGTGGGGATTTTGTCTCACCTTTCCATCTTAGAGTAAGGGAGTATGAGCAGGACTACATGAGGGAGGCGAGGAGTATTTTCATGCAACAGAGATACAACAGTAACAAAACCACCCTTGCAAGGGCTGGCCTGTGGGCCTGTGGGTGACACACACTGTGTTGCCATGCAGAAGACTCATAGTTCAAATTTCAATCTTCGTTTTTCATGCCCCGGATCAGAAAAGAAGTGAAGAAACACTGTAGATTTTGCCTTCAAATCAGAGGAAGGGAATACATATCTTACAATCATAGTTATTTTTGCTGAAAAGTGTTAACACAGTGCTCTGAGAACAAGTCTGGCTCCTTTCTGCAACTGATGCTACCGTGTCACTTGACCATGTTCGAAGAGGAGAAAAGATGCTACGTCTTGCACAGCATAAGAAAGTAACAGTAGGACAAGAGAGGGCTCATAGGGTTGTGTGAATAAAAAAACACATCCATCAATAAAATTACCCTAAATCTGGAAAGGATCTGTTATACTGTAGGCTGAAGGAGAAATGTACGAATAGCAGCCCCCAAGAATGAAGACCACTGTCTCCATCAGTATCGCATTACACATAGGTGGCATACAAGATGTTCCCAACCAAATTCCTACCTGCACAAAAATTCACTATTCCCTTGACCCAGAAGTGGCAGGCATATAATCCAGCTAACAGTGTATATGCCAAAGCTGCTGTGAACCTGAATTTCAACAGAAGCCACCATTTTTCATAGAGATTCCTGGACAGTCACCAAGTGGGTGCTAGGTAATTCTCACCTAGAACCAATTTCAACAGGTGAGAGTCAGGAAGCCCTAGGATCTGAAAAGCATCACTCTTGGTAGCTTCCTACTCTATTTTGCCCCTAACTGAATAAAAATAATAAAACAAAACAAACAAAATTGGATCTCAATTGGGCACACAACACAAATCATAGTCCTTTTATTAACTAAATTACAATTTCTTTTAATAAAAACTTAACTGTAACAACCAGTTAAGGATCTATGATTTATTTTCTCCTATAGACTAAAATCAGTTAATTTTCTCATCCTCTCCCTGACAGTGAGGCATCAAGGCCATGGTGCTCAGACACAAATGCAGTCCTTTCATGTCGCACCTCTCCACACCACGGTCCATGGCTCCACTTCAGTTATTCTACGAAATGGAAAAATGAATATGCAATCACTAGTCATGTCTATTCCCTATGCACTAATAAGTTGACACATTTAAAAATTGGGCATCATTTCAGATATACAGTATCTAAAAGAAAAATACATTCAACACAGATCTGCAAAGGTCAGAGACATAAACCAAGCCAATCATTACTGTTTTAAGTACCAGGGAATAAAAGAGCAAGGCCAAGTGAAAATAAAAACCAACACAGTTTAATAATTTCCTTTTGCTGAGTGAATGAGGAAAAGCCAAGAGATGTTGATTTTTCAGAATAAAAGATATTGATCCTAGAATAATGTTCTATTACTTTCACTTTCCATCTACATCACTCATTCAATGTAAGTGAACTAAACTTATGATCTGGCCCACGTGAAAAAGGCAGTGACACTGTGGACCTTAGGAAGGCACCTTGAACCTTATTCACTGACAAGGCATACACACTGTGAGCACTGAGCAGCTGTCAGTAGAAAGAACACACCAGAGAGACATTAAAAACAATCTGATTTTTATCAGCTAAACAGTATCAAAATTAAGGGAACTTTCAAAGGTCATCAGAGGTTTCATGTGCTGAGAAAACACAAATATTCAAAGCAAAACTGCTTTACAATATTTCCACATAGAGTTGTTAAAAAAAGTCATGTCTAAAGGGAGATTATCAAAAGAAGAGGCACTCAAGGTTCTTATACTGCTTTTCTGAAATGGTGAAAAGGTGCTTAGTTTCCTCATACAACTACAGAAGAATGACACCACCGTAGGAAAAGAAAGAACAAAGAAAAAACTGACCACCAGAATGTAAACATGGACAGACCATGCTACAATTCCAGGCATCAGTTCTTTTTTTAATATCTTTATTCCTACTAACTACAATTTTTTTTCAGGAGGGTGGTGACTTGTATAACAAAACATGCATTTCTGTAATAAGGGCTGTGACACAGACTGCAAAAATAGGAGCATTCTGTGATTTCTTGTTGAACACAAACCTAAACACTGTTTTAAAATTAATCCACCAACAGGTGATCGGAGTGTTTTTAATCATATGCAAAAATTAATTGCACTTAGGGGAATGCAGCCTCTTGTGCTGAACACTGCACTTGGTTGTGGAGCTGAGCAGTTAGGTCACGGACTTTAAGACAGTGAAACAAAAGCTGACCATTTAAAATACAAAGACAACCATTTACAAGATCAAGGGATGACTTTAAATATCAAATGCATGCAGATCTTTTTGGTAAGAACACAAATATAATTATTAAAATGTGAACAGAACTGAAGAATCATAGCATGTTAATGTAAAATCAAAATGAATGCTTGTAGCACTCACATTATCTTTAACTACTGACAAATACATGTCTTTGAAATATTCCATTACAGGTGAAAAGTTATCACTAGCCCAGATTTCCAAAAAGAAACAAAAGCTAGAGTAACTAAACATCTCTCCTTTTTTAAAATCCTCTCTCAAAAGGTTAGAACCAAGTTCCTGCTTAGAAAAGCAGAGATATTAAGCCCTCATTGGTTAAATGCAACAAAAACACCAACACAAATAAAAGAAACTCTGTCAAAATGATAAAGATTTGTGCTAGATTTATCTACGTGCCTTATAAAAAGTATTTTAAAGTTACAGTCACAAGACACTGAATCTCTCAGCTGTGAGCTATATGAATGGATTAGTGACACCCTGTAACTTTTATATTCCTAGTTTTATAAAATTTTAAAAATAAAAAAATTTGGACCTTTATGATTTGACAGTGTCTCTTTTAGTTAAAAGAAAAAAAAGGTCGTACTTCCAAGAAGCTATTTTCTTTTCCATGCCCATATTTTAACTAAAATTGTAGGTACATTGTATACTTACCATCATTCATCATTCCTTTTGATTCTTTAAATGCTAAGAATTAGCAACAAGCCAAACAGGCAGTTAGTATGGTTCCACAATTAGAAATCAGTTCTAAATAAACAAATATGCAATAATATCATGCTAACTGCTCCTCAACTATATGGCCAAATTAATTTTAAGGCTATCATTTTATTACATTGGCTCACACCCAGAGCCATCCTCCAAACAAAGCCAATTCAGTTGGAAATACAGATCTAGATTTAGGAAGAAAGTGAGACGTTTTGGCCTCACTTCATGGTGATAGCCTGTGTCTTTCTGAAAGTTATAAATCAGAAATTAAAATTACTTGGGCTTATTCTCTACTGGTGTTGTTACACTTCATCTTGGGCAATACAAAAAGGGAATGTTACTCCTGTCCAAATATTCTGTGGCTGGGGCAAGCAACTACTGAAGAGACACAGAACAGTGTCTTTTCCCAGAGGTGAGAATATTACAAAAGCAATACTCATAATTCCCAATGAGTAATCAGGAAAAGAGAGGTCAAGAAAAGAGAAGAAACAAGATTCTTCTCAAGGCACAGACAGAACATTTTAACTGCTCTGGGGACCAGTACAAAGTAGGATCTGGTGATGGGTCAATAATATAGAAGTTTGTAATATGCACGTACCATTAAGGGGTTCCTCTACAGCTTTCTGGAAAATATTTAAAATATATTTACAGAAAAATAGAACTTATATCATGTCCTTTTATACTAAAATTTATATACACTAATATTTAAACTATAAAGTAAGGTGTGGATCCTACAGTCTGAAAATAAAATAAGGCAGTAAATAAAGGTTAAAGGAGTGCTTGCCAAGTCTAGTTAACAGTTTAATAAGAACTGGTTTATTCTCTTAATAGTATTTGTCTATGAAGAATTCCCACCCCACCTTGCCTACCCCAGTTCAAAACAACTGTTAAAGGCAGATGTAAACAGCAACAAGAGAACACACACATGGTTACACAGCAGACAGGAGCAAAGGAGAGTTATCTTCTAGCCATCCACAATGAACTCGGAAACAGAAAGAAAATTTGTTAGGATTTAAAGGATTTAAAGGTCCAAAGATTAAATTATGTCTAACAGAGGCACTTTAAAAACTGTTGGCTGTCTGTTACCGATGTAGCTATGATACCAATCTTTTATTTGAATGAACACCTGTGGGCAGATGAGCCACCTGCCCCCCAGTGCCTTTCAGGCACGCTATACTGGAAGCTTGTCAGACTTGGCAGCGTGCGTAATCTCCCCTTTCTGCACAGACAGGATCTCAAACACACTTGTATGCTATCATTAATCCCTTATAGGAAGCTGAGTACAGTATAGTCCTTTCCAGATTGTATTTCCATAATATACCTCTTGGGTCTATCACCATGATGAGTCTCTATTTATAAAGGTTTTTTCCTCCTCATTTATGCCCCTCAGTTTATCTCCTAAAGTTGCTCCTTTTCTTTGGATTTTCTCAGAGAGCTTATTAAGGTATCTAAGATACAGTGAAACCTGCTGTATAGTATTAAGGAAGAAAAATATTTATAAAAATGGAGGAAAGAGGGAGGGAATAAATCAAAACTCAGAATATCTTTCAGCAATACTGACATTTATTTTATAGATTATAATTTTTTTAAATGAAATCAGTTTAATATAACCTGTCTCCCTCCCTTTCAAGTCTGAGACTGTCTCTGTGGGTACTCACATCAGTGCCCAACAGGTCCAGCAGGTGAGGACACTATACTGGAGTCAGCTTCCTTCTGATCACACAGGTAAAAACCTTTATTCTCTCCCAATCCATTAAAAACATTTAACTTACCCTCGGAGGTTGTATAGTCCCCTGACTGGAAGCTGATATAATTAAAAAAAAAAAAAAATATGAATGTAATAAATGAAAGAAATCAAGGCAATATAATACTTAACTGTAAAACAAACTGTTCAGGGCTAAAACTACTGGTGCCAGAGGCTTCACTGAAAGAGCTCCAGCTCTGATAGTCTATTCAAAAATCCACAACATTACTGACTACATTCACTGATAGAATAAAATGACGCAAATAATGCACATACATGAAATAAACACACACATACATTGTCTCATCCGTGCATGCCATCTCTCCAGTCAAACACACTACTTGTTAAGCTTCTTGGTGGAAAAATGCCGCCACCTACTCACTCCCAATGTGGACTCTATAGTCCTCCCTACTCGGCACAGCCAGAGCATGAGAGAATGCAGCCATGACAGTACCGCACAGACTCCAGCCCTCCTGGCTCACTGCTTGTGTTCTTTGCAGTCCAGTCTGTTTTCTCCTCATCCTTCTAGTTTTCAAAGCTCCAGATGTCTAACAAACTAAAAAAATATTCAGACCTCTCTGAGGGTGAAGGATTATTCTAGGCAGTTGGTTACAGCCACAATCAAGTCCTTCTCTATCTATTCCTCTCTCAGCTTTCTGCGTTACCCTTTGCACACACTGCCTCTCAATGAAGTGGGTCAATAAAGATGAGGGAATATGGTGCATGAAGAGAGGGAAAAGAGGAAAGAGAAAATACTTACTCTAGTTAGGTATGGAAGAAGAGAGAATTTCTTTAGCAAAATCAATTGAGAAGGCCCCATAGCAGCTAAAGCCAGTCCTAGATACAGAATCAGAGTTCTAAGGATACAAAAGCATCAACCAGCAGCATCCCGTGAATCCTCTAGCAGGAAGGTGATGCTGCTGGCTAGAAAAGCCGAGTCCACCATGCCCTGGATCAGATGACTGGGTAGACTGAGGCAGGCCCCAGGGGACTGTTTTTGTTCCCTCCGTTTTTTGTTTACTACCAACTCCCCAGCACCTACCCTAGAGCAAGCTTCCAAAGCTGACAGCAATGGGGCTGGTCCTGACCAAGGGCACCCAATCTATGGGCTAGCCAGAAGCCTGCAAGGCTCTCTGAAACAGAGAAAATGGCCTGACAAGATTCTGGAAGGAGAAAGGGAAGACTGGAATGCTGGTGACGAAAAGGCAGATAAAGAGCTCAGAGCTTAAGAGCTCTGGGTCAGAAAACGCAATGAGTGAGAAGATACGAGATGATAAAAAATAAGGACCTAAAGGAGAGAGTGAGCCAGCTGGCTAGCAGGAAAAGAAACAAAAACAGACGAACTAAGTAACTACAATGGACAAAGGGGTACTGATTAAGTCTTGCTGCTGAGAGGGCAACATGTCTTCCATCTCTGTGAGGCCCAGTTACGCATCTGCTCTCAGGAGATTCCTGTGTGTTACGGCCAGCGTGTGGCTTTAAAAGAAACCTTCCTTACTGAAGGCAACTTGGGGGGAGGGGTTTTGGTCCGTGCAATCAAAGAAGAAGGCAACCTCTTTTTAAAACAGTATGGAGTAAAATGGGTTGGAAATACAGGAGCCTCAGGTTCAGCAGTCTCCCAAATAAACGAAGCAGAACTATTAGGTGCCACCATGACAGTTACATGTATATACAAACCACTTCAACTAAACCATGTCCTACATCTATTTCTACAAAGGATTAGGGAAACTAAATTCTTAATTGGTAATGTGAAGGGTCAGAGACAAAATTTTAGAGTTATAGCTCTGAGCTCATAAATTTATTATCAGAATTGATACGAAGGATTGCCAAGTGACCCCTTCTCTTCCCCAATAATACATAAGGAATAGTTTCTAAGTTCCAATTTCCAGGTCACAGGAACATCACATTTGGCTAGCCCACTTGAAAAAAGATTGTTGAAGAACAGTGATTCAAGGGGACATCATCAGGGGGATCCAGCAACAACTGCCCATCTTTAAGAGCTCAGTTGTGGTCCCGCTAACATTACAAAACTAAACAGTGCAGAAGTTAATTTCACCAAAGTTAATCCTTTCCAATAGGGATATAACCCCATGTGAGCAAAGAACTGTGATTGATCAGCGTACAGTACTGACAGCCAGCGTTTCTCTGAACCAGAAGCCCTGAGAGTTGCATCTGAGCTTCATCTGCAATGCTGCTTCTTGGCATTGGCCCTGATCTGCTCTTCTCTCCCTGAAAACACTTGATCATAAACCTATTTCTAGGTTTTGAATTTTCAGGAACACTTTTTCTAGTGGTAACAGATTCACCTCTCCACAACAATGGGCAATAAAATACCACTGAATTTTGTAAACACACACACACACCATATTATGCTAAAATATCTGCAATGTTGTGGTAAATGTGGTTTCTGATGACTACTAGGTTGATTTGCATCAAAACAGAATTATATGTCTTTGTACTGAACTAAGGAGCCCTGGTGGCGCAGTAGTTAAGAGCTTGGCTGCTAACCAAAATGTCAGCAGTTTCAATCTACCAGCCGCTCCTTGGAAACCCTATGGGGCAGTTCTACCTTGTCCTATAGGGTTGCTATGAGTCCGAATCGACTCAACGGCAATGGGTTTTTTTGGGTACTAAACTAAAAGGAGTGGTTAAAGCTCTCAGCTGCTAACCAAAAGGTCAGTGGTTCAAACCTACCAGTTGCTCCGCAGGAGAAAGATATGGCAGTCTGCTTCCGTTAAGATCACAGCCTTGGAAACCCTATGGGGAAGTTCTATTCTGTCTGACAGGGTCGCTATGAGTTGGAACAGATTCGACAGCAGCGAGTTTTGGTACTGAACTAACTGGTAATGGCTTTAAGAAGTAAAAGTGTTAACTATTATAAATAATGGATATAGGGTTACTATGAGTCGGAATTGACTTGAAGGCAACAGCTTTTTTTTTTTTTGGTGTAAATGTAGTAAGCCCAACTTTAGTGAGTTTAGTTAGTTCCTTTTAATTATTTATTTGGTCTCATATTTACTGCTCCCAGTCTTTTATCTCATTTTATAAAATTAAATGCTTCGAATAATAAAAAAGAATCCAACAAAGTTAAAAAAAAAAAATTAAGACTATAGAAAATGAAAGTAAAAATTCTACTCTTTTAAGTAACAATTAAGGCCACAAATTTAAATTTGGAAATAATAAAAACTATAAAAGTTAAGATTCTCATAGGGACATTCACTCTTAAAAGAGACTTTTTTTTTTTAAACTATCTGAGGATTTTATTGCATTTAGTTCAACACACATTTATAAGACTCTTCTAACCAGAGCATTTACAATGAGTGAAAATTATTTCAGAAATTTACAATTTTTACTTCCTGATACAAACGCTTAAATTTGCAACCTTAATGTTACTCAGATTTACACATTTAAATTACCTGAGAAGAACACATCAATTTTCCTAGTCTACTACCTTACCTAAAGAGCAACTCTCCTGTACCTTTTCTCTTCTGGCCCTTCAACTGACTGAACGTGTGCCCTTCAACTCTGGCATCAGACAAAGTGTTTGAAAAGTTAATTTAGACTTTTCTCAAAATGTCAATAAAATTGGACTAAACTCTTAACTTATACATGGTACAACTGAGCTGGAATCAACTCAACAGCAATAGGTTTTTTTTTTTTTAAAACTAGGTTAAGGAACAAAAATAATTTTGGGATCTTTTTAGGATTTCACTTTCGTTTTAATTCAACATGAGAACAGTAACGTTTTTAATTACACAGGCTTCTTAGGGATGTGACTGATGGGGAAGAGAGGGGAACAAGGTCGAGGGGTGGCAGCTAGACAGCATCCATTCCCACTTGAGCCAGCATCCCCAGGCCTGATGGCAACTGTAACACGCATCATTCTTTGCTAGACTTGGAAGGCATGTGGAAGCACAGGAAGAAAATGAAGGGCATTACACATAATAAGGAAAAACAAGGACAAAGAGCTGACCATGAGTCAAAAACACCCAACACTACTTCATAACAATTGTATGACTACTGCAGGTCACGTACTGTTCTCGGCTACTCATGTGGAGCAACGAAATCAGCAGTGTCAACTTCAAGAACAAGACACATGGTGTTTACGTGACTCAACAAAAATAGAAGATGCATCAACCTTCTTGATGCTCACTATAGCTAAAACAAATGTCATTCTGTTTTACAGTCTTCCTTGTATTTTATGGGCTTATACAGCACGAAATAAAATTCCACTGAGAAACAACTGTGACTTACAAACACATAAACTAAAGATAGGTAGACTGTAGTTACGTATTTTGTTTATCTGAGAAGCACTAATTAAAGAAACGAGGACAAAGAATGGATAACAGAATCAAACTAAATTATCACTCAACCAAGAGCTGAAGTTCATAAATAAAGGTAAAATTTCTTTGGAAATATTATGCAAACCATATGGGAAATTATTTGACTATAATAATTCAAGTTTTACATTCAATTTTAGAAACACATACAGTCAAGTTCACTGAAAGCAAAGCAAAAACTCATTTTTTACGCCATTAATTTGAAATTTTTGATTGTTTGACAGGCATTTAAGAGTTTGCTTTATACACAGGGAAAAAAAAGGAAGACTAGTGTAAATGAGATTGTAGGGAACTATTAAAAACATCTATCTTTACATATGCATTAAAAATAAGAATATATGTAGAAGCCTGTTATTTGAAACTTGGTAGATTACGTACAAAATTTAGTAACAGTGAAGCTAATTTCACATTTAGTAAGAACTGACTTTAAAAGCTTTTAGTAAAAGCCTGAAATTGAAAACCCAATGTTGTTATTATATTGGTTTTAACTAAAAATGTTTTAAAGTCATGTTTCAGAGGTCCCTGCTATTTAAATTAACAAAACTGATGGAGTCTGAATTTCAATTCCTGTCTACCTAGGGGACCAAGTCTGTAAATAGTCCGCAAGGAGAAGAGCAACTGACACAAATAGGTCTCTGCAAAAGAGCTCTATCATAGCAACAACGGGCCCATTAAAGATAGTTTTCTATAATTAAAGTGGATCCTCAAATATCTCTCTGCATACTTAGCATAAGAAATCTATACATTCCAAAACTAAGGCCATTTTCTGTTAAACTAATTTATAAATCTAAACTTTACATTACTTCATATGCTATCTATCCTCTTTATCTGAAATCATTCCAATTTTATTATTTAAAAATACAGTAGCCTTGATTTTATTTTCTCATATTTGGAGCTATCAATATATTTCTTTAGTCCTAAACTGTAAACCAACCAGAAGCATTTTCTAAGTTATACATTTGAAACTGGCAAAGGCTAACAAAAATAAGATCAACTTACCCACAACCTTCATAGAAACTAGTCCCAGTAATTCTGCTAGAGCTATGATACCCAAACCTGAAATCAGAAGAGGGCCCTGCACCGGGGTACATTCTGTAAAAACAAGTGAAATTTTATATCAGAAGTTCACAAAACAATGCCTAAAATTTTTAAAAGAATCAACAATAATAGCAATAATATCAAGTCTGTAAGGAGATTAATTCTTTTTCTAATTATCAAGAAACAAAAATTACCTACATATTTTCAATATTATTAACTTAGTGAAATGACTCCAAATTATTTGAGGAAAAAAGCCTTTGTTTGCCTAACATGCAGGTTATCACACCAAGATGAATGGAAAACAGGTCTAAAGCTTAAGGCTGTGCTTTGGGCTCCAAGTAGAGCCTGGTTATTTGAAAAGTTCTCCCACAAACACAGGCATAGCAGTTTGGCTGCAAAAACAATCAGCCCACAAGCTACACATACAGCCAATATTCTAACAGTAATGTGGAAAGCACTATTCTCAGTGGGGAAAAAAAATGAGTTACAAATGAAAAGCTCTGTCCAAGAGAAATCTGTAGTAAAACAAACTGGGACAACAGAAGAATCTGACCCTTACCCGGGATACAGAGGCTTAATCCAACCACAGCAAGTACAAAGCCCAGCACCTGAAGGATCAATATGGCAATGGCAAAAGAGGTCATCCCAAAAGCTGGGGGAAGGCAAAGGATATAACAGAAGCGTGTTAAGGGTTTTTAAAATTCAATCACTCCTACTTGCATTTTGTGCAATAAAGAATAATACTCTGTTGACCTTGGAGTTCCTTGTCGGGTAGGAAAACCAAACTGTTGCCTTGACTCATAGCGACCCTATAGGACAGAGTAGAACTGCCCCATAGGGTTTCCAAGGGGTGGCTGGTGGATTCAAACTGCTGACCTGTGGTTAGTAGCCATAGCTCTCAACCACTGCATTGCCAGGGCTCCTCTTGTCAGAGAGTAGATGCTTTTTCTGTGATCCAAACCTCCCACACAAGTAGCTCCAGATTCACACTCACTCAGCAGCATTTTGTTTTCAGTCAGCTGAGCTGGACCGGTAATTTTTACCTCAAACCCTATTAAAACAATGTTGTTTCCACCACACTCCTATGTTTTAAAATATGAATGGTTATTACACATGGCTTCTCCACATGCGTATAACATTGCTCTGGTGGAGAGAAGCATTATGCAAACAAACATGCCATTTGTAAACATCATAACCTCTACCTTGTACATCTAGAAGATCTTTGATTTTCCAATAAACCAACATCTTTCCAATGTGTAGCAAGCCAGAGATAGGCTCTAAGACAAAAGGTAAAAGTATGCAAATAGAAAAAATACTCTTTAATAATAATAACAAAAATGTTAGTGATTTACTCCCAAAATGCAGTGAAACTGATACAGATTACAGTGTAGATAGCCACCGCAATTTCTCTTAAGATATCATGCTAACTGAAGCACAATTTAAAAAAAAAAAAACATGCTAAGGTTTGCTAATAACTATAAAGAAATATATTATTCTTTGTGATTTATAACCCTGTTTTGTAGAGCTAGTCTTTAATGCAGAGGATTAGCAAAAGAAGAGAAACGGTGTGTTTAACATCTACTTATAACTTCAAAAAACTGAAAAAGAATATAAAGAAAATCATTAAGAAATTATATAGCATAATTTAAGATCTACTGGCTGCATCAAATACATATAAAGATCACTTTTTACAAATAATTCAGTATCTTGAAAACCTAAGATAGCCTTAAAATTAATCCATACAGGGAAATGTCTCTTAAGAATTCCTTGGAAAGTCTTTTAATAACTCTACTTTTATTGAGTTGTAAAAAAATACATATGTATCAGAATATATTTTCACCAAAAATGTTGTTTTTAAATGAATAAGGTAGGCAAAATCATGCTGTAACAAAAATACCTGTCATAAGCACAAAGTACTGAAGTAATATTAGTATCACCGTAGGAATTACAATTAAACCAAGCCCAGAAGCATTCTTTGTTGAATATTCACCTGTTAATAAATAAAAATAATACGTCAGATATTTTCCTACATACATCCTATTCTATGGGAAGTTAAAGCACTTAATTTTAAATATATTAATCTCAATACTACTCTTATAAACTGTGAAAAGGTTAAAAAAATACAGTTCCCCACAAAATGTCAAACAAAGTAACTATTTTTCATTATTTAAGACCAAACTTAAGACATCTAAGTCTTAACATCTAAGTTTCAACATGTCGAAACCTTAAACTGGCTCTAAGTCCTTTCTAATCACCTTACAGAATTTCAGGTGAGAAACTTTGGAGTCCTCTTTTACTATCCCTTTCATTTGATTTCATTTCTTTCAAGTTTTCTTCTGAATCCGCCTCCTTCCTCTCTATTCCTCCACTCCTTACAGTTGCAAAAAGAGCTGTCAAATTGATGTTCCTAAAACATTACACCTATATTGCTTTTTCCTCAAGAAACAATGGCTTTCTATTGTCTATCACTTCGAGTTCAAACGTGCCTTTGTTTTTCTTTCTATGAGCTGCATACCCTTAATTCCTACTGCACCCTTGCACCCCCTAAACGTAGTTGTCATTTCAGGCAGACTTGTTTCCCATGTCCACTCCCACTTCTATGTCTTGGCCAATGAACTTTGCCTCTGGAGTGGGTTTAAATGGTGGCCCCAAAGATATGTCTATGTCCTAAACCCCAAAAGTTGTGATTTTTAGCTTACACAGCAAAAGAGAGAATACCTTATATGGCAAAAAATATGATGGAGCAGAAGCTTATCCTGGGTTATCTGGGGTGGGCCTTAAATTCAATGACAAGTGTCCATACAAGACAGAGACAGAGGGAAATCTGAACAGACACAGAGGAGAAGACACTGAGACCACAGAGGCAGAGTGTAATGATGTGGCCACAAGCCAAGGAACGCCACTAGTGAAAGGCTTTCCCCTAGAGCCTCAGGAAGGAATGTGGCCCTGCTGAGACCTTGACTTCCGACTTCTGCCCTCCAGATCTCTGAAGGAATTTCTGTTGTGTTAAGCGACCCAGTTTGCGGTAATTTTGTTATGACAGCCCCAGGAAAATAATACAGATTTTTGATACTGGGAAGTGGAGTGCTGCTGTAACAAGTATCTAACAATGTGGAAGTCACTTTGGAAACGGATAATGGGTAAGAAGGTGGTAGAATTCTGAGGCACATGACAGAAAAAGGTCTAGACTGCCTTGAACAGAGTGTTGACAGAAATATGGATACTAAAGGTGTTTCTGGTGAGGGCTTAGAAGGAAATGAGAACATGTTACTGGAAACTAGAAAGTGATCCTTGTTATATAGTGGCAGAAATCTTGGCTGAACTGTGTCATCTAGTTGTATGGAAAACATAACTTGTAAGTGATAAACTTGCACATTTAACTGAGGAGATTTCCAAGCAAAGTGTTGAAGGTGTGGCCTGGTTTCCTCTTGCTGCTTACAATAAAACATGAGATGAAAGAGATAAATTGAGGAAGGAAATTGTTAAGCAAAAAGGAAACAGCACCCAATGATCTGATAAATTCTCAACCTACACAGACTGTAAAAGATGTTAAAATCAGGTGACTAACTGTTAGGAAACTATGCTCCGGAGAGAAGGCAAATGGTGTATAGCTAGACGACCTTCTGCTGAAGAGATTAGGCATGTGACTTATGGACCTACTCAACCATCTCTGAAGTCAGGAGCAGACAGGGGATTTTCCAGGAAAGATCTGTGGGAGATTCTCTTGTCTAATGGTACGAACCCCTGTGCTATACACAGGAGAGTTCCACAAGGTTTTTGAGAATGTAACAACAGAAATACTGGAAGGTTGGACTGAAGGGACTGAGAAAGGATGCAATGAAACAAGGCCATCAGACTCCCAAAATTCTATGGGAAGAAACAGGCCAATAAAACTACTCATCTGCAAACATGTGCCACCCTTCAAGAAAAAGAATAACTCTGAGGGCAGAGCCTTGGGCCTAGAGGGCAAAGCCTTGAGTCACATGGATTATTCTCAGGCTTTGAAACCTAACAGAACTTGTCCTGCTGGATTCTGAGCTTGCTTCGGACCAATGATTCCTTTACTCCTTCCATGTTCTCCCTTTTAGAACAGGAATATATAACTATTATCCTATGCCTGCTACCCCACTGTATTTCGGAAGCAAGTAACTTGTTTTCTAGTTCAAGGCCATAGATGAAAAGGAATTTTGTTCTAGGATGGAGTTTCACACATACCTGATTTAGATTATGAAATCTGGGACTTCTGAGCTGATATTTAGATGGCATTTTGGACTTGAGGTGATGCTATTATGGGTTGAGACCATCAGGGATGGTGGGATATGGTGTATGTATTTTGCACATGGGATGGACATGAATCTTTGGGGGCCAGAAGGGAGACTGTAATGGGTTCACTGGTGACCCCAAAGAACCTTACATGGAAAAAGAGTTATTAAGAATCTTGAAAGGAGAAGCTTAACCAAGATCATCTAGGAGAATCTTAAATCCAATGACAAGGATCCTTATAAAAGAAGTAGAGGGAGATCTGACACACAGAGATGAAATACACAGAGAAGAAGAGAAGGCAATGTGACCATGGAGTGATGTGGCCACAAGCCAAGGAACACTTATAGCCACCAGAAGCTAGAGGAGGCAAGGAATTAACTGTCCCTCAGAACCTCAGAGGGAGTGAGCCCTGCTGACACCTTGATTTCAGACTTTTGGCCTCAGGAACTCAGACAATTTCTTTTTTAAGCCACTCAATTTGTGGTAATTTGTTACAGCAACTCTAGGAAACTAATATACCCTCCCTTGGAATTCCCTCAACTACATTAATCCTACCCTCCCTTGTAACTGTACACCTTACCTGGGATGAAAAGAATGGCTCCAACAATAACAACTATGGTGAGCAACAGTCCAGCAACAAACAGAAGAATGGTTTTCCCTTTCATAGGATCAGATGCATATTTAAGTGCTTTAAAAAAACAAAAACGACAAAAAATTAACATGAACTCAATGACAAGAAGTGAAGCCATTTCTGTAATTTGTGAAGTGCAGAGACAAACTGACTAACTTACTATAACTTATTAACCTTTGAGAAACAATTCCTTCATATCACGTTGGGTTAATTACTTCAGATCTTTTTCATAATAAATCAATGGATAAACAGTGTCATGGCAATATAAATATGGATGCTGAATTTATAGTTGAAGCTTTATTCCTTCACACTTTAAAGAATAAAGTTATATATACCAGACTTTTTCATATCAGCATTATTAACATTTTGGGTCAGATAAGCCTTTGCTGTAGGGGTCTGCCCTGTGCATCATAAAATGTTTAACAGCATCCCTGGCCTTTATACTAGATGCCAGGAATAACTTCCTAGTTGTGTCAATCCAAACTGCCTCTAGACATTGCCAAATGTCTTCTGAGGGGCATAATCGCCCAAGGTTGACAATGATGGTATACATAATGGTGGTGGGAAATAACTTGATAATCGGCAAGACTGAGAAAAAGAGAGGTTTGCTCCACATTATATAAAATCAGTAAACCACTGGGAAATGTAGATATTATGTTTTGAAAAAAAGGATAAACATTGGACAAATCACCCCTTAGTGAAATCATTAGGGGGGAAAATGTTTAAATTGATTCAACTAAAATAATTTAATAAAAATAAACTATAAAGATGCAATAAGAGTCATCAAACATGTTACTGTTTCTGATACTAGTGTCAAGTATCTTGTACCTTCTGTGCAAGCATAATGTAATAGATAAGGCTAAAAATATTATTTCCTTTACTATTCACCTTCTTGGTTTTATTTGATTAATATTAACATTAATTTTTCACCAAGACAGCTGTTAAAGGTAACCTCAAAGCAGACTGAATAGTAGAGAGAAACTGTGTGTGATTAAAATACTCTACATGTCAGTAATGAACGGGTAACTGTCCTGAGGAGGGACAAAAACAACTTCAATGTTAGAGTGGGCAGTTAATTTTTCCCCTAAAATGACAAACAGATAAAATGTAGTAAAAGCAATTAATAAAACCCTAAATGACCTTGATAAAAATCTATGTTTAGGGAATACTACAGACACCTGAAATATTTTTAAATCTCTACCTACTCATATTTTAGGCTGTTACCAGAACTTTACTCTCTTCAAGAGGAGAGGGAAAATTAATAAATTATCAATCCTGAAGCTGACTAGCTGAAATCCACATTAATCTGAAATGAATGAGAAACATCACATGGCAAGTTCCTCAAGCGTTTACTTGATCTGTTACCTCCATTCAGCGTTTGAATTTATGTAGCTGCTACTCAGTCATACACCTGCCTTCTTAGACGGCATAGAAAAAGTACTCACGGTTTTTCTACTTCCCAGGTTTAAACACTAGCTAGGATAAAATCAACTGTACATGTCACAGAAGGCATACGCATAGGGAGAAAATGGAATTTTATCTAAACATATGGCAAGTTTTCCATTTTAATTCCATGAATACTGTTCTCTAAATAGAGCTTAGAAGTTCTGCAAAGGGTTATAAAATAGAAGCTGTTTCAAATGTACGTCACAATCAATCAAACATTCACAAGAGATTCTTTCAGGCTTCATTCAATACATAAAAGAGCTACTAAGATCAAGTAAAAGAATTGACCTAGCAGACCAGTAGAATTTCCTGCAAAAATGGCTGATTTATGCCATTATTAACAAAAATAAAGTGTTTGAACTCATATAAAATTCAACCTCTTTATGCTTAGAAGAGTTATAGGAGAAAAATAATGCCAACACCACCAACAAAAACAAAACAACACAAACTACTACTATTAACAGTATTCCACCATAAAATGGCCTCTTCTCTTTGCATGTAAGTACACTACACAGTGGATGTAACTTTAGTCGCTGCTGATTGCTTCAACTATTTCTTCTCAAGGCTGCCGTAAACTCTTCCTTAAACTAAGCAGCCATTTCCAGAAAATATATTAGTGAGATTTACTTAAGTAAACCGAGATCATAAAACATCATCTCCATGTTTTTTTAGGAGCCAACTTACTAGCTCACAATGGCCACATTTTAGTAGGGCCCACAGCAACTGTAGGGTAGCTTGTTGTTTAGTCCAGACGTCACTTTTGTCAGTGTAGCTACAGGGCAAGGAATGTGACATAGATCCATGTTGTTGTTAGGTGCTGTCGAGTCGATTCTGACTCATAGCGACCCTACATACAACAGAATGAAACACTGCCCAGTCTCATGCTATCCTCACAATCGTTGCTATGTTTGAGCCCACTGCTGCAGCCACTGTGTCAGTCCATCTCATTGAGGGTCTTCCTCTTTTTCGCTGACCCTCTATTTTACCAAGCATGATGCCTTTCTCCAGGGACTGCTCCCTCCTGATAACATGTCCGAAGTATGTGAGATGCAGTCTCGCTATCCTTGCTTCTAATGAGCTTTCTGGCTGTATTTCTTCCAAGACAGGTTTGTTTGTTCTTCTGGCAGTACATGGTATATATTCAATATTCTTTGCCAACACCATAATTAAAAGGCATCAATTCTTCTTCAGTCTTCCTCTTTCACTGTCCAGCGTTCAAATGTGTATAAGGCGACTGAAAATACCATGGCTTGGGTCAGACGCACTTAGTCCTTAGAGTGACAGCTTTGCTTTTATACACTTTACAGAGATCTCTTGCAACAGATTTGCCCAATGCTGCGTCATTTGATTACTTGACTGCTGCTTCCGTGGGTGTTGACTGTGGATCCAAGTAAAATGAAACCCTTGACAACTTCAATCTTTTCTCCATGTATCATGATATTGCTTATTGGTCCACTTGTAAAGATTTTTTGTTTTCTTTATGTTCAGGTGTACTCTATACTGAAGGCTGTACCTTTGATCTTCATCAGTAAGTACTTCAAGTCCTCTTCACTTTCAGCAACCAAAGTTGTGTCATCTGTATATCGCAAGTTGTTAATGAATCTTCCTCCAATCCTGATGCCCCGTTCTTCTTCATATAGTCTAGCTTTTCGGACTATTTGCTCAGCATACAAACTGAGTAAGTATGGTGAAAGGATACAACCCTGACGCACACCTTTCTAAACTTTAAACCACGTAGTATCCCATTGTTCTGTTTGAGTAACTGCCTCCTGTCATAGAATCCAGTAATTTCCATCACCTTTTACTGGTGATCTTTTCTTGTCCTTTAATAAATGGATCTTACCAATGAAACTTATCAAAATGTTAAATGTAACAAAGAAAACAAATTCAAGTAATTCCCAAAACGCTTAGCATTAAGATAAAGATAATTTAATGTGCTCTTAACAGCAGGCTCTATCAAATTTCCTGCTATGATTTTCTGTCTGCTGGGCAAGACATTCTATTTATACGATTGTAAAAATCTGCATGCTTTTAAAGATTTCCCTCACCTACAAGTACTGAAAATCAATATGCAAAATAAAACATATGATGAACCATCATATTTACATTTTTAAAAAAATTTTTATTGTACTTTGGATGAAGGTTTACAGAACAAATAGTTTCTCATTAAACAGTCAGTACACATATCGTTTTAT